TTCACCGGTGAGAGTTCGGAAAGACCATCCAATTGAAATAATTGTTTGCAATGCTGTAGTAATGCACATCATTTAAGAATTCATATAATAAGCACATAATTTTCGTCTATTTCTTTACACAAATATAATTTAAGGCACAATTTTCATTGACCTTTTTTTTTTAAGAATAACGAGATATAAACACGTTAAATGTGACGAGAATATTTGAAAAAAGCACGGTTATTATGTCCTTTTATAAATGTTCGTTTAACAATCTCATTTTAAATAAAAACAATTGTTAAATTCTCGATATACAGAGACATAATTCAGTGCTAGTTGTTTTGTTTGTGTCATAGGTATATTTGATCGCTGTTAAAATAAAACTAGAAGCATGAATAACTTTCTACTTGATTCAAAAGGTCAAACAGTCACTGTTCACAGTTAAAAAAAAATTGTGTTATTTTTTTTAGAGAATAATAAACACTGCTACATCGATTAATTGATATGGAACACGTTTTTTTATATTCCATTTATATATTAAACGAAAGACGTGCACGTACACTTTCTGCTGATTTTCATTATGTACTGCATAGATGTGATGAATGAAACATGCCAAATATTAAAATTGTAGAAGAACTCATATAACAAAGGTACCAGGCTGATAATTGGGTACCCTCGATAAGCGTATCGTCTTTATAATTCACCAATAGCGCTCGAATCAAAACAGTTGGAGCGTCAAAATCAATACGTATGAAGAGTAATAGAAACCATAAATTCTTTGAAATAACACCATAATATTTACTAGACAGTTGCAGAGAAACATTCAAATCAAATGTCTCTCCAATTCAGTTTCGCAATTTCAAAAATTCGAAGCATGATTTTGTATAAGTGCAATAAATTAGAATGGAAGGAGCACGTCATCAATAAAGCTCAAGATTTACAGGTCAACATGGGTCATATTAACAATAAATTAAATGGAAAAATATCTATACCATGTCTTGATAATATTTTAGCAAATGAAACAACTATGCGTCAACATTAAACATGCGATTTTATTTCAAGGACACAACACCATTAACGAATGACGAAACCCCATATTTTCAAATGTAACGTAATCATAAAAAGTTTATGTTTTTTTTTTCTCGTTACGTCTTAATATCAGTGAAATAACTTGTAAGCATGCAATGAAAATCAATTCAGAGACACCACAATACTCTATATTGTCGATGCTACGGGCAAAACAAACTGCTTGATTAAATGGTATAGTGATCATACCCGAAATATTTGCTGAAAATTTCAATAAAAAAACAAATCACTGAAGTTTTTCAGACTGTAAATGATTCAAATTATAATTAGTATGTACTTGTAACAGACAGTTTGATTGAAGACTGCTTCACTGTAGCAAAAAACAATCTTGCATTTTCAGGAGTTGTGTAGTATAATTTAAATATAATCATCTTTGTATTAAGATCAATACGTTGAAACAGATTTTTAACATGATAACTGTAATTTACGATCAGAGTTAACCAGTATTTGCGCTTACTTTTAAGTGATGAAGAAGTGAATATCAAATTAACAGTAATTGGATTAACCTACAATCACCGGCAATGTTTGCAGAGACGCTTAAATGAGATCACATAGGAAGTATTAAAGACAGTACAATTTGGTACAACAACCTATATTAAGAAGTATTTATTTATATTTATATTTATAACTTATTTCTAATGTATACAATGTCGTCTTCCGTCATATATATTAAAAAGTTATTGGTGCAACTACTTCATGTATATGCAAAATTGAAAATGAATATTTGATTTCCGTCCACGATCCACAAATGGTCATTTACAATGCCGATAGCAGCTGGTTTATCTCATCCATTTCTAGCGTCTAGCAATGTTTTCTTGTAATTTAAATCCTTGTCAACCATGTACACGCTATGGTGCCGGAAGTCTGATATTATAATATTACCAGCTTTGTCAACAGACATCCCATGACATTGAAAATGGCCGCTTGCGTCAAATCCATAAATACCATTGAAACTTTTGATAGAAGTATACGTATTTGATGTTTTCTCCAACAGCTCTATACGATGCAAGTCGGATATGCTGTCTTTACAATATAAGACGCACAGATATGATTCTAAAATTTGGATACTTCATGGTTTTTTAACAGTGCATTTAGAAAATAACGCTTGGTCAGTGACAATTCCATTAGTGTTCATCCACATGACAGAGTTTGTAAATTCATACCTTGGATTCCCGGCATAGGTTAAAAGGCAAATTGCTAATAAATCATCATCAGAAATGCAAAAGCAATACGGCTTTCTATCTGGTCCTCCTATATTTGCGAAATTAACCAGGCGTCTGTCTGTAAGTAGTTTCATTATACATGGATTTTCGTCAATGAGAATCAAGACACATGCATCTTTTAAAACGACAAAATCACATACGTTATCTGCATACACAATGTCGTCTAAGGAATGGTTAACAATTTTACGCAATTGCCGGTTTGTCAGTATCCAAGCTTCCTCTTCAGAGATAGGAACTATTTTTTAACACGTGTTATATCGTGGTTTAGTTGAAAATTAGTCGGATTTTTATCAGTTATTTCATCGGATGAATTTTCTATTAAATCTTCTTCTTCTATGTCTTCAGCATCAAACCATTCAGTCTCTGAATCTTCGAGAAAATCTAATTGTGTTGATATATTAGAACATGAGGACAATAATAATTCGCAATCGTTATGTTTTCCAGTTGATGGTTTAAATAAATTTCCAATTGAAAACTCCATCGTCGGTGTGAAACCAGGTATTGGTTGATTTGCAATTTTGTCACACTTTGAGGAGCATAAATTAATTTCAGACAAAATATTCAAAGTATGACTTAGCTCATACTCGTCAAGCTTATTTACCTCTAAATTAGTTATTTCAGTTGGTAAAGTATTGACCTTAGTTTCTTGTTTGCGTAGTATTGTTCGATAGCTTTCGAAGAATGTATTTCGTAACTCTGTCAATAGATGTTCCTCTGTAAAGTCGATTGTTGCCTTCATTGTTATTACACTTGTTTTTATTTCACAGTTAAGACGTTCCACGTCTTGTAAAAGTTTTTTCTGGGTGTTCGAAAGCTTATCACCCAGTACAGTTAGTTTTTCAGAATATTTTCCATTTAACAACAGAACCTCCATTTCTTTCCGAATATCTTCCTCCGCATTTTACAATTGACTCAGGTCATGTTTTTGGTGTATCTGTCCGAGGCATTTAAAACACATGAAGTCCTTACAATCTTTGTAAAATATCGTGTATTCTTCTGTTTCATTGTATCTACACCGAAGTGTTTTTGGAGATTTACCAATCTCTTCTTTTTCTGCACGTTCTAATATATCATCCGCTATTGCGGATAGTGTAATTTAAAATGCAAACATGTCAAAATATATACACTAGACTACGGTATGGATATAGGTCATTATTTATTTTTTATTGATTTAAATATGTACACGAACAAAAATAAATGTTATGTAAGATATAAATTACTTCTTATCTGTAATCAAATTGAAGGTAAATTTGTTAACAAACGGGAGATCAGAAATATATCCACTAACGTAGAATCAACCAGTAAATTTCTAATGCAGTTTTTTTTTTTTTTTTTTTTTTTTTTTTTTTTTTACTTCGCTTTCTTATATAATTTTTGAACATTACAATTATTCTTATTAATTCAAAGACGGGAAAAGGAAAACAATGAATAGAAAAAAGGGAAAAAACCAAGTTAACCATAGCATACAGGTGTATAAGACGTAAACAATTTTATTGGTATCAACAAATCTTATTAGAATGGTAATCTTAGTTACAGGGACATAGCCTCCCCACCCATAAATACCACCACCACCACCGCCACCGACCACCACAACCCCCGTGTTCCACAAAAATAAAAAAAAATAATACAAACTCCTCAGTATTAATATTTGCCTCCTATTCTATATGAATCAATTTCTATATAAATATATAGAAACAGGTTATCGACAAGCAGTTCTTATTCAGAATCTACCTTCGAAGTTTAAAAATCGTAGACACGGAAAACTGAGTAGGGATATTTGAGAAAACAACGATTTGGATGATGTGCTTCTGCTTGCTGGAAATAGATTATGGTTCGGTACCTTCGATACAATACAATATTCGGTGCTAACAATTTTCAAAAGATAAAAAATGCAATATTTTTACCAATGTCGGTCGTTTTACTTCGCTTCGGAGCCGTTATCCCGTATCATACATAAGCAAAACAATATATTTGCATGTGGCGTTCTCTGCGTTTAAAGTGGTGTTTGTGAAAATTGCTAGTAGAATTTTATTAATGCTCACGCCTTAACTTTCAACTTAGATAGTGTAAAATAGAATTTTAAAATTTTAATTTTTTTTCATAGTCAAATGACTGAAAGGATGTGATTTATTTCAGGGTTGGATCAACTAGTGAAAAAATAAAACCATCAGGCAAACATTCTACATACAAAAACAACTATTCAACTGGAACCAACCGTGAAATTATTTTCAAATTAGGTTATATCTATTCAACTGTTTTTCTAAATCTTTTTTTTTTGGTACTCATTGGTATAACTTTGCACCTTTTCTAACTTCAAAGACATAGACTTTAGAAATAATTTCTTAAGAGCATGTTTTTTTTCCTTGACACAAATTTAAAAAAGATATTTTTGAACTCAATGTCGTTTTTATTATATTTTGTCCTGAGCTTTCATGGAAACAGAGTATTTCTCACTTCCGCTTTTAAAAAATATTTTTTAAGAAATTAGAAAACGACATTAAAAAAGTACCTTCAAAAAAGACAAATGTTCGGTGCCTGAATTGTGTCAAACATCTAGACCTATTACTTCGGTTCACATACTCTGAAGTGTTGCCAATCTTGACTGATTTTCAAATGGACCGTAGTTATGGTCCTCGTTATTCATGTAATATTTGTTTGCCGCGTATTCCTAATATGTAATATACGTAAGCAGTTTTTAAAAATAGATGAACTACACACTGTTGATGAGTGCAGATGTTTTAATGAGACTTCATATAACGTTGTCTTTTTACTGTATTCATATTTTATGAGTAGAGAAGTTGTTACATTGGCACAGCGTAATATTAATCTGTATAGGGGTAAGTTGATCGAAAGGAAGGCATTTTGCAAAAGTAATATATATAAATTTATAGTTATATTTACATTTACCGTGTGTACTTGATTTTATATAGGACATTATACACGATTATAAGTTATCAGTGTACACAGGCCTTATGCCTCATTATAAATAGGAAAAAAGACCGATGCTATTTTTACTAAACGGTCTCAATAAGTTCTTGCGTGTCTTTGGCGGTTATTGTAATGTATGTGCTGTGTAAAAATAATGTGCTTTATGGTTACAAGGAAGTAATTATTTACATAGGCGACAATGGTAGCCTATTTTGGTCCTGCGTTTTCACTATCAAAGATCCATAGAAAAAAATGTCGAATTCTGAATAATCAACACCTTTGGGTGTAATTGAAACTGCAAAACACATATGGTGCCGCAGCTTTTTTGATAGAAAAATTGCATTTTTTAAGGGTACTCAACGGTTCCGGAATTTTCGAAATAGTATAAACGAAGAACACCCCTTGCTAAATTTGGCACAGAAAATGTTGCTCGTCACAGAGAGTTTTCTCTAAATTTCTCGCTATTTCTACACCAATGGCCAACACTCATTTCTCACTATTTCAATTTTGATTTCTAATTACAAGGGCAGCAGAAAATAAATTTACTTCTACCTATTATCTTGGATGTAAAATCTAGGTGGCGCCAGTCATCTTTATTTACTTCCTTTTAACCTATACTGACATATATTGAAATAAAATCGGACAATCTTTACATTAGTCGATTACTATATACTCTTGCTGCTAAAATTCAAATTTTTGGATTAAAGGTACAATTTTTCACCTTTAAAAATGACTTTCTTTACAGGTACCCCCCTTTGCAGAAAACGTTGCTTTTTACAGACTTGGGGCCATTGGCCAGCTTATTTTGACTGTTTGGCTATGTTTAAAACGAGGTGTTTGATTAATGAAGTTCGATTTAGGCCTATTAAAGACTTTAGGCTGATGATTTGATAACTGTGTCCAACTTATATGTCTTTATCACGAATATATGAACACCGTTGCATAAGAGTCAAAATATTTTATGAAATAGACTATAAAAGTGCTGAAACTAAGAATTTATCATTGCTGTTATGTGTTTTATATGAATCGTGTGCAGAATATTCAATTCGACGATACTAAGGAGAAACATATATTGCCTTTGATTTTTTACCTAATTTTAATATTTTAGGGGCATTTTGGCACATTTTGGCCATTAAAAATACAAAAATTTCGCTAACGTCAGCAAAAATAAGCCCCCCTTTATTTAAATATGCATAAATACATGCAGTGTTATCGAGGATGAGGAGAAATGATTAAAGACAGAGTCATTGACAGAAGTCTCGTTCTTACAGTAGGTTAATGAACCCTACCCCTTAGGCAGAAGAATAAAAAAACAGTAAAAATTTGATATAGACTATAGTTTCTTGGCGATCAGCAATTTTCTTCTGATACAGTTTATCACTTAGTACCTTATTAATTTACCGATCCAATTTCTAAAATATCTCGAAAAATACAGTGATGCGCCAGAAATCGTTATTTCGCTTTAGGTTACAAGGAAGTAATTATTTACATAGGCGACAATGGTAGCCTTTTTTGGTCCTGCGTTTTCACTATCAAAGATCCATAGCAAAAAATGTCGAATTCTGAATTATCAACACCTTTGGGTGTAATTGAAACTGCAAAACACATATGGTGCCGCAGCTTTTTTGATAGAAAAATTGCATTTTTTAAGGGTACTCAACGGTTCCGGAATTTTCGAAATAGTATAAACGAAGAACACCCCTTGCTAAATTTGGCACAGAAAATGTTGCTCGTCACAGAGAGTTTTCTCTAAATTTCTCGCTATTTCTACACCAATGGCCAACACTCATTTCTCACTATTTCAATTTTGATTTCTAATTACAAGGGCAGCAGAAAATAAATTTACTTCTACCTATTATCTTGGATGTAAAATCTAGGTGGCGCCAGTCATCTTTATTTACTTCCTTTTAACCTTATGTTTCATTCAACAAGGCATTTCCTGTCCTCATTTCCAATGTATGTGAAGTTATCAGGAAGATCTAGCCAAGCCTTTGGCCCTCTCTCCTGTATATAGTTAATTATTTCGTCAATAGAAAATATCTTTTTTTTTGCTGTCCATAGTTGTTTCTATTTCATTTCTATTTCATGTTATAAATCTTACTAGAGTGGCCGTTTGTTTTTGTTTCTTGAAATAGCATCTTTAAAATGTACATCTTTGATTATATTTTATTGATAAATATCTATAGTCCATAAAGAGAAATATTCGATTTACATAAGGGTTTATATTTGAGAATTTATGATAACTTGAATTGGTTACAAAAAGATTTCCTACATCTCTTAACTTTTACTACTTTTAACTAATTACTATCATCATAATCATACTTTTAATGTTATCGAATGTTTAAATTTTTATTATATGAAACTCAGAGAATTTGAATATCGAACCGACTGCTAGCAGCCGGTTGGATATTGAATATCGAATAACGAATAACTAACCGACCGCTAACTTCACATACATTCATTCCCATGCTATTTACAATTTTTAGAAAATCACTCTGGAAAACATTGAAGGCATGTTATGAATAAAAGCAAGTGACAATCACATTTTGCGTGAAGTACTTTTCCACCATAAACCATAAAAAGCTATAAAATCAAGTCTGGAATATGACAGTGTCTTTCATTCGTTTCGTTGGTTGATTTTGTCAGTTTTTGTAGACTTCCCCTTTTGGAATTTACTTTGGAGTTCGGTATTTTTGTTATCCTTTATTTCCAAGAACAATAATGTGATCGTCAATTACTGAAATTTCGTATATTTGTATTGAAAAAAAACAGCATTCAATTCTTATATTTACACATGTAATCGTTTTGAATATAAATTTACAAAACGCCAATATTCGGCAGCAATTGTCAAGTGAATTGAACGCAGTATCATGCCAAGTACAATCAATTATGAAGGATGAAGTTCTCATAACAGAAGAAAAAAAAAATAATAAATTGTCAAAGAATCAAAATAGTAGTATATTGAAAATCATGCATTACTTTTCTGAAGGAGGTTGTCATATAAAATTTTAAAGCAATACAGTGACATAGAAGTAGACGGTAAAGTCGGGAGGGAGAGGGAGGCAAACTTCTGAAAGTGACATGTACATTATATTTTTGTCAAAAAGGGGTGGATAAAACATCGCCCTCTTTGCCAAGCTCCCGTACCAGTGTCATACGATTTCCTGCAAATCTGTATGACTTGAGAATAGTATTAAATAAACTCATCATAGATACTAGGATTGAAATTTTGTATTTGCGCCAGACGCGCGTGTCGTCTACAAAAGACTCATCAGTGACGCTCGAATAAAAAAAAGTTAAAAAGGCCAAATAAAGTACGAAGTTGAAGAGCATTGAGGACCAAACATTCCTAAAAGTTTTGCCAAATACAGCTAAGGTAATCTATTCCTGAGGTAGAAAAGCTTTAGTATTTCAAAAATTCAAAGTTTTGTAAACAGTTAAGTGATAGAGACAAAGGATTTCCGTCAAAAGGTCAAGTATCGCCTATGCATTTTCGATCTAAATGCTCTTTAATAAAGGCAACAATAGTGTATCACTGTTAAAAAGTCATAAATCAATTAAGAGAAAACAAATCCGGGTTACAAACTAAAACCGAGGGAAACACGTCAACTATAAGAGGAAAACAACGGAACAACAGAAACACTGAACTGCAACAAAAACAAACGCAAATATACATAGACACGGACTATTTGATAACAGATACCATAGTCCTGACTACAGGACATTTTATGAAAAAATGGTGAGTTGAACCTGGTTTTATGGTTAGCCAAACCTCCCGCATTTATGGCAATGTTAAAAAATACCTCTTATAGTTAAATTGGCCTTTAGACTGTTTTGATTTTTAATTAGTCTCATGTTGAAGAAACGCGCGTCTGGCGTGCCAAATTAAAAACCTGGTGCTTTTGATGAGTTTTTATAACCACTTGGGCAATGCCACTGCTGGTTTCTTCCTCGGGGGTATCACCAGCCTAATAGCCAGCACTTTTGTGTTGACAAGAAATATCATTGATATGTTTATTTTCTATAAAGGAAATATTTGAAGGTCATTTGAAGTCTTAGTTACATATAGATTAATTTGATATTGTTTTTTTTTCAAATATATACGAGACTTTTGAATGTTCCTACATTTGCTCATGAAAACATAACGTAATGTATTTAGATTTCAAGCATAAAAGCTATATTAAAAATTGCATGCTATTCGGTTGTTAATATCGTAGAAACTTGATGTGAACAACACGAACATTGTTTTTTTTCTCTTTCAAGACTTTACTATGGTACTGAAATAAAGGTTACGCATCATGACAGAGTTTATTGGTGTGTTTCCGCGGCCAACCTATTCACCAACTGAATAATAAAGTCCGAAGAATTTCATGTTAATTAGTTTGACGATGAATAAAAGCGCTGTGCCTTAGCTCACAACGGGTATCCCGATCCGTAATCCGCAAAGAGATGAAAATCCTGAGGAGTAATTACACAACACCGCAACACAGTGGGTCAGTAAAATCTGGATCCGATTCCCACGGAGCATAATATCCTCCGTGGGATTCGATTCCAGATTTTATTTACCAGGAATTGCACTCAACACCACGATATTAAGATCCCTTCGCGGATTTCAGATAGGAATACCCGGTGTTAAGCTGTTTGGGTTTTTCATGTACGTGCAGTAAGTTTGTTCGCCATATCCTTTCTTTTTTAGTATTTCACATTGTGCATTAATACCCTTTTGTATAATTCATGCAATATTCAATATATACATATTTGTTTTAGGGTAATGGCGACTAGTTGGACTATATGTGGCACATGTGATTTTCGCCATATAACTAGACCGTCAGTATTTTGGTGTTCCGAATGTGACGAAGGCCTATGTCATGAGTGCACCGAACATCACAGCATATCCAAGGCAACTAGGGGGCATAGTACAGTTTCTATCGATGATTACAAGAAACTACCATCTACAATTTTAGACACAACACAAACATGCAAAGATCACAATGAAAAGTTCCAAATATACTGTAATAAGCATGATTGTCCATGCTGTAAAAACTGCATTGTAGAGACTCACAACAAGTGTAAAGAACTTATTGATATTGATGATGTCGTAAAAGATGTAAAATCTTCAAATGCTTACGTGGATATCGAGCACACCTTGGCAGAAATTTTTGAAAATATTAAAAGAATAAGGAAAGACCGTGAAGAAAATCTAACATCAATTAAGGAAACAAGAGAAAATGTCGAGACTGAAATAAAGATGACAAAGTTAAAGATTGTTAGCTATCTGAACAAACTCCAAGAAGATATTTTGAGTGAACTGAGCGAAACAGAGGAATCGGAGAGCAAACTCATACACAAATCGTTAATGTCATTACAACATACGGAAAAGGACGTCATTGAATACCAAAATAACATAGCAAACATAAAACAACATGCATCAGACCTTCAGGCATTCTTGGTCCTAAAACAAATAGAACATGATGTAGAAGAAAAGAATAAAATCATTCAAGCGTTAGTGAAGAATAAGGATTTTAATCATGTTACTCTGTCATGGAAGATAAACTCTGGTGTACAGAATATCCAGAGCAATTTAGTAACGTTCGGCAAAATCGTTGTCGAGTCCAAATCAAGTGACATAACTATTGCATTGAGAAAAAACAAACAAGCTCAGATCATTGTTACAGCATCAGTAGCGTTATCTTTAGACAAAATAGAACTTAAATTAAAGAAAAGTATTTCTTCGAGAGGCAATGACATAACTGGATGTTCCTTGTTTTCAGATGGTAAAATGATGTTTTCGAGTTATAAAGACAAAAAGGTTGTTGTTCTAAGAAATGACGGATCAAAACCGGGAAAAATCAATTCCGAATTTCAAACTTTTGATGTAGAACAGATAGACGAAAGTTTAATTGCAATATCGACTGGCTCTAACGGTGGTAAAATTATATTTGCAGATCTACTAGAAAAGAAAACTAAGAAAATTATAGACGTTGATGTACCAAATGATGGAATAGCAGTGTATGGTGGTTGGCTTTATTTTAGTGCAAGTACGAACGGATTGATGCGAGTAAACATAATAGATGGATCGATTCGTGAGGTTGTTTATAAGCCAATGTGTGGAAGTGCTTATATAGCTGTATTCGGCAGCAATCTCTACTTCACAAACAAATCGGAGAATACTGTGACGTGCAGCGATTTGGAAGGAAACGTCAAGTGGATATTTAAAGATGAAAGTATTTTGTCTTTTCCTCTCGGCATCTCTTTGGATCATTACGGGAACGTTTACGTAGTCGGAAACAAATTTTCAAATGTTGTTGTTATCTCGCCGGATGGAAAAAGAAGCAAAATAGTATTATCATCTGCGGAGGGACTTGATTGTCCTCGGGTTTTACATTATAACCGAGAAAATAACCAGCTTTTAGTTGCAAATCAAAACGGTAATGCCTTTCTCTTCGATGTGATATTCCAATGAAGTATCATACTTCACGTGCTATTCATATTTAAGTAAATTTGTTTTTGTACGATAAGTAAAGATTTTGTCTTTCATAATTTTACTAGTTTTGAATTTCCAATTCAATGATTATAAAAAAAATATGTCAGATGTCACCGTGATGAATTTTTATTTGACTTGGTTTTGATTGAATTGCACATTTCAGTAAATCATTTAACTGTGTTGCTATTATGTTGTCAATACAGTAAAATTTCTAAGATGATTATGATTCGGTGTTTAGAAGAAGCGGATTTAAATTTCTACTATATAGCGTGCAGAAATGCCATCCCAATGTTAAACCCAAATAATTCTTCATATAAAGAAATAAAATTGTACAGAAGTACGCCATGTGAGTAATTTCTGTGAAATTTTTACAAAATTCTGAAAAGCGGTTCAGGAGCAGTTGAAGATAACAACAGTTGGACTGAAGGACGAACGAAGGAACGAGAGAACAGACGGACAGACACACAACCACTAAATAATCGGTTTAAGAAAGCGTAGAGTAAAAGAAAAAAAAAAAAAACGGATATGATAAATTCAAACAAAAATGAAAATACATATAGCTTTCATTGTGTAGGTCACTAACTATACAATAGGTAAGGAATAATGCCGATTTTCTGATCTGTCCGTGCGATCTCGTGTAAAGCTTTAGATAAAGGTACGTGTACTTAACTTGACTATGAATTTGTGGTGACATGCAGTTCAAACCTAGTACACATGTTAATTAAAATTATATGACAATTAGAGTTTTTATTAAAATTTCGCAATTCACTGATAATAGAAGTGCAACTTTAAAAGTCCGGCATAATGTCCCTTTGTTTTTTTGTGTGTGCACTACATAAAAGTCTTTGCAAACGGAGATACAACTTGTCATTAACCCGTCTGTCCAACCCAGTTGCTAAATTATTCGAATTAGCACAATACTGTATAACAGACGTACACAAAGGAGAAATGAACAATGTGCTTACCATTCCTATATTTACCTAGTATACATAAACACAATGACTGCGTCCAATATATAATGAAGGGGGAAGTGGTATGATGGTAATATTATTTACCTGTCGGTTGATTCATTAGCATTTGGGGCAACATGTGGGTTACATTAAATAAACTGCAGCCACATCAATTTGGAAAGAGAGTCTTCAGAAATCTCAAATCAATGGTTTGATGAATGACATAGTGTGTCACCGTAAGAATCTTACATAAAGGCTTTTAGTCGGAAGGTGACCTGTTGATATAAGGGATGACTATCGTCTCATTTAAATTTCCCACTTTGTTCTCATATATAACGAAAATTTCGAGTACAGTACAACCTGTGACTTATTCTGATAAATTTCCACCATCTGGTTTGGTCACCATCAAATGGTTGCCGTTTATTGGGGTAATGAATTATGGGGTGTTGACCATTTATTGGGGTAATGAATAATAGGGTGTTGACCATTTATTGGATCATAAAGCATGGACTAGTGGTCAATCTAATTCCTCTACCCAGTCAGACGCAATAGTATTTATCTGTACATGCTTTACAGCTAAATTGTTTTACTCCTTTTCCAATTACCTTCATGTTAATTAGCTTGTATATGTGCTCTTTCGGCGCCTTTTGAAATTAAAGAAGCATACTGATGTCAAAGTTTCACTTTATATTAAAATGTGTTCGTTGATGTTGTTACACATCTGGCATGTATATTGACATGTCTTACTTCATTTTTCGATGTCTTTGCCATACAGTGCACAAGTAAAAGTCGGTAGGTCAAGATGACTGATTTAACAACGCGCCAGGCATCTTCCAATTTTGACATAGCAGTCTGAAAAAATTGGGTTTTTTAAAATCATTTTGATATGCTTGATCATGTTGATTTTGCCTTTCAAATCCCCTATGCTGTAGTTTCTTGCACATGCACGTGGACCCAATAGAGCGCTGCAGTTCTGGCGACCAAATTTGACTGCTAGACTTGTTATATTCATCAACTGTGTGTAATTAGAAGTGCCTGTATCAAATATAAATGTTATAACATTAACGGTATCAATTGTGTTGCACCAGATGCGCATTTCGACAATATATGTATTGGTGATGCTTGAGGCTGTGTACCAACCAATGCAATGAAGAGACATATAAAGAATATATCACTGTCTGGACTTTGGATTCTCAAATGCTCAAGGCTGTACGTGCAAAAAAGTATAACTCAACTGTCCGTTTCCTCTACAAAGTAACGTAGTTCAGCCACTAGTGTTCTTGTGATAGTTTTGCCATCTGTGCTAGCAACCATGTGTCTTCGTTGCGTACAGCGAACACCTTCTTTGACTGCAGCTTGGTTTAAAAGGAATCATCAGACTACACATCAACTTACATCTTAATAAAAGAAAGGCAAAGATACCAAAGGGACATTCAAACTCATAACTCAAGTCCAAAATAAACTGACAACGCCATGGCTAAAAATGAAAAAGACAAATAGACAGACATACAACTGTACAGAAAACACAACATAGAAAACTAAAGACTGAGCAACAACTGGGGGTGATCTCATGTGCTCTAGAAGGGTATGCAGATCTTCCTCCACATATGGCACCCGTCGTGTAGCTGTTCGTTCACTTTGAAAACCTTTTTATCGGTTTTACTCAGAGGACCATAAGGACTATTTAGAACTGGATAGGTTAAGAGTTTCTCTAAATCAAGCCGTAGGTCAGAACTTTGAGATCTAATAAGGAACTGAAAAGCAATGTTACTTTGATGCTTATACTCTACAAGATTTTTATCAAAAGTCTTAACATTTATTGTACTGTTCGTAGAAGTAAATGTGTTTTTTAATTAAGTCGCTTCACAGGCTCAGAATACTTACCAACTGGCAACTCCTGGTGATCTTCACAATGAAGAATTATCGGTTGTCCCATTGTCTGTATCACTCTGTTCAGCTCTTAACAAAACTGCATATCACGGCTTTTTTACGTCATATACGTTGACCCGGACATATCATCGACGTCATAATGAATGAACCGACGTTGATAAGTTTGACCCGAACGTATCAAGTCATCTTCCGGTTGGCTGGTGAAACAAAGACAACACTTGTTTTCTATCATGAAAAATATGTAAATACAACCCGATAAATCGATTAACTGGTTGTCTGCATATTTATATTGTAAAATATCCGCTGCTCGACACAATATGAAGCCTTTTTTAACTCGTTCGCTGCGCTTACTCGACAAAAAGCTTCATATTACGACTTGCAGCTGATATTTTACAATATGAATATACAGACAACCTGATGATTGGTACTTCTCTTTAATGTGCAAGTGATAGAACATGTAGAAGTGATAGTGAAGCAGATGATTTATTTGATGCATTGTACATGTATATATCTACAGAAAAATCACAAAAACTAATATTTTTGATGTTAATTGTTCAAATATTAAAGGTTTTTGCCAAAATGTGTAAGAGGTAGGGGTAGTATTACTACTATATAAACAGATGGTGATTGTGCTATAGAAAAATATCTATGTATAGTAGTCAATCGAAAACTAGTACATTGTCCTATTTTATAATACAAAATATTTCGTGTAAATATGAGAAAGTCTTTTTTTTTGTTATACGTTTCTCGATAAAACTTCCTAGATGGCTTTGAGTGGGATCCCGTCTAAGGGAACGATTCACAATCTGGGGTACTAGCTTTTTATTTACATACAAGTCGGCAGTCCAATACAATTAATATTAACGAATTGGTTAAGTCCAAATTCTTTAATAAAATCCAATTATTAAACATGTACAGTTTTAACAATCATAATATTGAAACCAAAAACGATAAATCTACAAACGTTGGAAAGTCCAAACGTAGTCCGTGTGCTCTCGTTGGCATATCCAAACGGAGTCCTCAACATTAAAATATTGTTCATTTAAATACCAAATAAAGTTGCTATAACTACACAGTTTGTTGGGGTCATGTTGTAAACAGAAATTATATAATTAATTGATTTAATTTATCATAAAGAATTACGATAGGTTTGACTGGGTAAAGATCAATCCATCTATCAATTAAATGATGTGTGTATTTGATATGACCGAATAAAAGTTACATAACGAACTTGTAAAATGTTTACATTAGCTTAGGGGTTAAAAGGTTATTGACATTTACTTTGATAAATCTAAATAACCGTTATGAATTAACAAACTTTATGAATTGCATTTACCAATGAATTTAATCAATTCTTTACAACTTTCATTTAACATTTGCTTTACTGTAAAATATTAGAAAATTATGAATTGCCCGTTTTAACAAAAATAAAGTAAAATTTATTTCCTCACATAAACATAATTTATAAAAGACAGAACAAATGTTTTGACAAATTTTAAGCATAACGTAAATATCTCAAAATCCGAAAATTTCCTATTTCTCGACGACAGTGCTTCCCAAAATTATCTTGGAAACACTTAGATAATTTAAATATGTAAATCTGACATAAAAACAACACAATTAGACCTAATAATGGCTTAGTTTTATTGTTTGTGATGTTTATTGCTCAAATATCATAGATCTTTGCCCATTGTTTCTATAGAAAAGCTATCAATATTGAGCGTTCAATCGAGACTTTCAGCTATCTGTTTATGTCAGAAGATGTCTCTTGGCTCCTTTTTGGAGTTTAAAGCTTCGAAAGATAGGAATTAAGTTAAACAACAAAGTAGCCCTCAAGATATCTCCAGTTGATCCCAATATTTCGCTTGTAAATATTTATAATGTAAAAACATATATATTTACGACCAAACAAAACTTTGTTTAATCATGGATCCTGGGGAGGGGGGGTTAACGGGGTGCAACGAAAGCATATATAGGCCAACGCCTCATAAACGTGTAACCTTTTATACATGATGTTATATTATACATGTTATAACTAATCAGTCATTTACCTTATTTTTAATTTAGATAACGATCAATACTTTTGATTTTTTATTCAATTTTCTATGAATAAGTGTATGACTTTTTTTCAATAATTATGAATGCGTATATAACGGGAATACACTTCATTCCAAAGTGCATTTTTCCTTCCTGATGTATATGTTTAAAAGTGAATGTTTGAATATCACACACAAACCAATTCAGATTATAACTGTATACTTTTTCACGGTCATTATATTGTGGTAAGTAATCCTTCTAATACAAAAAAAGCCAAACTGCATTTTTAACGAAAAAGTTTTT